AGTGGCCTTAACACCTTATTTCAATTCAGGTGGAGCGTCTTCAACATCTTCTTCTTCTTCAGGAGAGTCACCATCAATTATAGTTATATGATTGCAGGAAGCAACACTCTCTTCACCACTCTCTTTTGGTCTTATGTACACCACGATATGCTCCCTGACTTTTAACTCAGTCCCACACTTTATTACAAGGTCTGTGCATCTCTTCATTCTTGAAAGAATGATGCTACCAAATTTATGAGAACAATCAGAAGGTTCTTCAAGATTTTGCAATGACTTTGCCATTTTCCCTTTACTCTTATGAGAGTTTTGAGACTTTTGTCTTCTTTACGGTTCTAACCTCTTAAAAACAGATATCTGTGGAGTTTTATTCTCCTTTTCATGAAAAGTTTGAAATTTATCTGTTATTTGAGAAGACTCATCCTTCACAGCAATATATTGGCTACTAACTCTATTGATCTTGATGCGGATTGGTGTAGGAAAGGAATAGTTAAAATCAAATTTGGGATTTTCAACGGCATATTCTTTTTCTTTCAACATCTTTTGGGTAGGATTCAACCCATGAATCATATCACTAGTAGATTAAGAGGGTGAAACATTTAACACCGCATATTCTTTGAAATTATATCCATCCTTAGCGAGAAACTTATAAGCAATAGGATCAAAACTTTCTTTGGTTCTGGACTTTGGTATAGTGTCTTGTTCGATTTCAGATTCTTTGCTTAAAAGGTTAGACCTTTTAAATGGAGGAGATGACATATTCTTTATACCAAGACGAGCCACAGGAAGAGTCAGATCTTTCAGAGTTTCATGCTGTATTGCAGGTAACTGTCCATGTTCTATTCTCGACTTGGAAGGGCGGTGAAAGACAACTGATTCATTGTTTGGTAATGAAACATCGGTTTCTTCATCAATTTCCTCTTTTGATTTTGAAATTATCATTTTTCTCCCCTTTTGCACTTGAAGATTTGGGATTCTGGATTTTAACCCCAAATAGAGGTTGCTCAGATTCATCTCTCACGTTGTGACTTTTGCTGTAAAATTTGGCATCGGTGATATATGCTTCCACTTCAGTAAAGGGATTATCATCGGTCTTCACACTTCTTGCCACCCCATTTCGACAATATTTAAAACATTGATGAAGAGTTGAAGGTACAACTCCATTTTCATGAATTCAGGGTCTTCCTAATAGCACATTGTATGTTGTCTTAGCATCTATCACGTATAATAGCGCTTTGGACGACATGTCATCAATGACTATCTCCAAATTTAGTAATCCAAGAGCTCTTTGCCCTCTCTGATTAAAGTTTTGAATCATCAGTCGGCTATTGGAGAGTTCATCAACAGGGAAGAATATTGACCGCGGAACCTCCATTTATCAAAATTCTATTCACTTTTTACTCCTTTGCACAACCAGTCACAAACAAAGGATGGTTTTGTGGTATTGACCCAAGTAACAAGTCTTCACTAGTAAAGGTGATACTTGTGATGTTCACCTCTTCATTGCGGTAGGCACACGGGCTATCTCACAGAGAGTTTCGCGAGTATTATCCTTTTGTTCTTCGATATGATCTACTTGCGTTGTGTGACTTGCGACCACATCAACATCAAAGAATTTTTTTGACATGAATTCTTTTAGAGTGATAGGAGTTCGCACCTTTTGCTTGAAGACTCGATTTTCTTGAAGATTATGATAATCATTATTTTTCTTTATGTCCTTCTCTTTCCCCTTCTAGATTACCACACTTCTTGTTAAGGCCTTGTTCGCCTTAATAGATGGACAAGATTTTTGTCTCCTTCTTCGCGTGACTAGAGTCCATCCTTCATCATCTGCATCAGGTTGTAACGCCTTTTCATCTTCATATGCATGTTCTTGAAGAGTTGAATGAGCGATTTCTTGTTTGATTTCTATGGGATCAAATGATCCAAATTGAATTGTTGGCAATGCAGGTACCATGACATTTTTAACCTCCATGGACTGCAGGGAATCAATGGACGTTTGATTTATACTTGTCTTGTCTTTTTCAAGAAGAATTTTTTCTTGTTTTGCCAACTCCATTACTTTGTCTTTAAAGACAAAACATTTTTGAATGGGATGCCCAATCAAGCGGTAATACTTACAATAATTTGGATCATCAGCGTTCTTGGCCTCGTCAGGTCATTTCATCTCAGGAAGCGTGATCAAATTTATACTTAACATATCATCAAACATACTAGGGCATCAGAATCAAGGAAAGGGTACTTCTTATCTTACATCTCATTGAGAGTTGGTTTTCTCTTTCCTTGTTCTTGATGTGCATTGATCTTCCTGTCTTCTCTCCTGACAGTTTTGGGAACAATCTTAAAAGGTGTTATACTTGTAGCCATAGCCTCCTTCTTTTCATTTTTGATTGGTGACTTGCCCTCTTTTCTCACTTCTTGTCTCTCCTTAGCCTTGTGAGGGTCAGGAACTGGCGGTTCTTGTCCATCAAGATTAATTTTCAACTTGTGAGCTTTATTGAAATCTTTTTGGCAAATAAGTTTTATCCTTTCCTTAAAACACATATACACCAGTCAAAGTACAATAATCATAAAATGAAAGAATAACTTATAAACACAATATTACGTTCCTGCAGGTTTTAAATTGACTGTACAGATAAGTAAAACATACAACTGCTGGATGGTTTGTCATTTAAATATATATACCTGTGAATGGTTTCATTCCATGCTCTTTTTTGAAGCAGAAATTGTTAAATATAAGCCAGCTCTAGCTTTCTTTTATACTAGAATCTGTCTGGCAAGATCTCTCTTTCGCTTTCTAACTCTTATTACAATTTTTTCTTTTGTATTAATGTTAAAATTTGCTCTGGGAAACACATTACATCATGCCTTTTCACAAAAAATTCTACTTCAAGGAGAGTAAATAACTGTTTTTTAAGCAATTTTTAGAGAAGTTAAACAATTAAGAGTTGGATCATTGTAACTTGGGAAATGGAAACGAATTTATTATTGACCCAGAAGAAGTGGTTCCAGAGGTTGCTTTTTTCTTTTCATGTGTTTATATTTAATTGTATATTTTTGGTTCAGTGGTGGTGATACTGGAATATTCTATTCAGCGGTGTTGTTTGATCAGGTTGAAAGCTTGAGATATATCTCAGAACTCATGGAGTCCTTAAGGGTAGAGGCAGTAACTACATTTACTGCTCCACTGGAAATAGGGCAAATATTTGCGGATCATCATGTGTTGTATCTGTCCATCAGAAATCTTCCTCTGCACGTCCATTGTTGCTAATGTGTTTGTAATAAGATCTATGGCCAGCTAATCTTAACAGAGGTGAAAAATGGATTTTGTGAGCTTCTTCTAGACAATTCAGTGATATTGATTATAATCCAGATTATGAAGTATTTTTAGATGATCCTGCCTCATAGGTGAGAGAGAAGCTTTCATTGCCTAACCCAATGAGTAAGTTGAATTAGATAGAAAATTTTAGTGGACTTGTCACCCAGCTCATTGTGTTGCTTTCGGATCATGTGAGGATATGAAAGTTGCTATAACCTTCAGTTAGCAAGTGTCTTTGGTACTTGCAGTTACTTTATGTATACGTATTTCAGTTATATACTTTGTTTGGTACATGCAAATGTTTAGAAAGATGGTTCAATCTATATTTCAACTTTCCAGTCCTGGAAGTAATGCAGGAATTTGGAGTTGCAAACAATACTCTTGTTTATAGTGATTGATATAATTGGATCAAACTTTTTCATGACAACATAAAAATATTATGTAAGTATCGTACTAAAAGTACCTTTATAGTCCTCATTAGCAGTTTTTGGACTTTTTCATATTCTCTTTGTTACAGCTGGGAGATGCAAAGATCTCGACAATTGGTTGTGGCATATATCTTAATTACTTAATGATAGTCAGAAATGGATCTGATGAGTTATTTATTTGGTCCCTATATGCAGAATCAAGAACTTTGCTGCAGTGATCCTTCTGCTGAGGTATCTCTAACTTTGGATTATAAATGAGTTTTTTGGCTTCGGAGTAGTTTTTTGATGAAGCAGATATCATGATTTGCTGCAAGTAACCACATTTTGTCTGTGGCACAACACCCTTTATAATTCTTTGCACTTTCTACTTTGGTTTATTACATTTGCATCTGATATCCTTTTTATGTTCTAGTTACCTCTTCACCTGTATCTGTTAAGAGAACTTAACCAAAAGCTGGACTACTTTAGTCCTCTGAGCAAACAAATTTCTCTTCAATGGATGAGTCTACACCCTGGTTTCAGTGAGATGAAAGGAGCTGAATTCTTACACCAGCTTCGTCCACTATTTCCATTTTTTAAAGGAAATCTGGATTGTGCCATTAGTGGTCTTAAAGAAGGTAGTAGAGCAGAGCATCATTCATTAGTTAAATTTGAAACTATTTTCCTTTCATGTCCTTTAAAGCTTATAAAGAATAGTTGCAGGGGATGAAGTTTGTCAATATCATTGGAAAGATTATTCGACTTTGGCAGGAAACCCAAGCATAGTTAAAATGGTTGTTTCCAAATCATTGGTTCACGGCTTTGTCTTTGTTGAGACACTCTGTTGCTTTGGCAAGGTATTCCGCCCTTCTTATAATTCCCTTGTCTGCCAGATCTATGTGAGGATTGAGATAAGGAAAATAGTTTATGCTTGTATTTGCACCCCCTTCTTTCCCAAAAGGGTAAATTTTAACTAAAAGCTTTGTTTTTTGTTTTCTAAATGCAGATACTAAATCTTACAAATATTCTGAATGATAAAACTGCTCTTTCAGACCTTCTTGAAGCATTCCAGTCAATTAACATACCAGACTCTTTCTTTCAAGGCATGCAACTCATTCCTGCAACAGGAAGTATAGATTACCTATACTGTGGTACATATTATTTCCTGGAAGGGGTCTTTGATGCAGGTATGCTACTCTGAATTATTAGTTTGTGTTGCAGATGTTCGTCTACTTTGTCAAAGTTATGAGGTTAACTATGATAAATGTTTCCTGCAGCAAGGACCATCTCATATAAGCTGGCTTCAGAAGTGGTTGTGGCCTTGGAGTCTGTAACTATTTCCATCCAAAAGTTCCTCGATAAATCTGTAAGTGGGAGTGCAAAAGGAATTGACCCTGGATCTACTAAAGAACTCCTTATTTTCCTGAGAAACAGATTGGGAGCTTCTGCACAGAAACTTTTGTTTCAGAAGCGTGATGATATAATCGACAAAAGTTCATAAATTAAAGTATGTAGAATTCATTTTTGTAGTGCTGATTGTGGATAGGAGTTAGATTGATTTCTTTTGATGTGATAAGATATGCTTTAGGGAAGTAAATGATGATTCTTTTCCTGATATATGCAGGGACAAATAGTTCAGAAGGTACTCCACATTTATTTGGAAAATTGTCAATCTACTTCTGATTCACTAAATGAGTTGGCTTGCTCTATCTTGCCTCAGGTTTGTTTATTTCCAAGTAACTTTCCTTGTTTGTGTTTTCGTCCCTTTTATACAAGCTTCACTAGGATTAAAAGTATTAACTATTTGCTGAATGCTTGTCATACACACCTGATTAAAGCTAATTCATACCATCTGGTTGGTGTATCCTATTTTACTTTGACTACTTCTGGTCCAAACTAAAGATTCACTCATTTACTTTCTCGAACATGTGCACTTTGTTTTTGGGTCAATCAAAAACCTGGGTAGTTTATAATCCTGAAAAATAATGTGACCACGTGGCAGGACATGTTCTCAATGCTCTCGTTGTGCACAAAGGAGAAGTTTCGATGTTGTAGATGATATGGCTTGATTCCTCTACATTGAAATATATCTGAACAAAATAGTTCCATGTTTTACGGCATCTGTCTCAACTGTTATTAATTGTCTCTCACTGTACATGAAGGTTAAATTTTGGATTATGCTTAAATAAGAATTCATTGAACGGTACTTTTTAGAGAAGTCAAGTTCCATCAATAGAATGAAAGCTGTCAGCTGCTGATGCACTAACCCAGTGTATATGCTTGACAATATTTTTTAGAGAAGTCTTTCCTACAAACATATATTACCTCTATATTCCCTGTTTTGGTAAATCGGCTAGTCTTTGCATAACTAGGAAGGAGTAGCAGGTCACAATCCGAGTAGTCCAATTTGTAAAGTAAGACAGCTTAATTTTTTTGATGGTGGATTTGGGCTTTAAAATCCATACTCTGAGAAAGGATAGAAATTCTCTCTTTTCCAGATTCTAACCAGACTGAAAATATCTGCCCTGGTTGTTACTCTACGAGTGACCCATCTTCAGTTAGTAAGACATCAATACTTGGGTTGAACAAATTTTAAGATGGAGTGCTGCTTTTGTTAGACCCTTTGGTACAATTAATATGTTTAGCTTTACTGTTCCACCAAATCATGTATGGGTCTAAACAGGATGGTGGTATTGGTGTCTGACCACGGTGTACCTTATAGGGTTTTCAGTATTGGTTGGGTTTGGTCTTTCTATTTTCTTTTATGTGGTCCTAAGTCCAGATTACGAGTCACTATACCATAAGAGAAGCCTGGAGCATGGTTAAATGAGACTCTCATATATAAGATGAAATCCAGCATTATTCCTTTTGGTCTTTTTTAACTTAGAAGGCTACACCCTGGAAAGGATAATAAAAGGAACTAATTGGATTTGTTTGCTGGATGCGGTGTTTAATGCCAAAATATTCCTTGAATCAAAGAGTTATGCCAAATTGCAATACAAAGAGTATTAACTTGTATTAGGTAGGAGTATTCCTTGATTTGCTGTTGCTGGATTGTTAAATATTAGGGCTTTCTTCTAATCAGAACAAATTCTGATAAATTAGTGGCAATCGGTAAAGACTTCCCTAGATTTTTCAATGCTGTTCATTTCATTTAATCACATTCATTGGCAGATGGAGTTTTTTTCCCCGAGAATTTAGCTTGTATAAAAAGTTTATTAAATGGTACAGGTTCACTCATAATAGGCTTAAGTTGCTATGAGTTGGTCTTTCCCTTTCTACAGATTCTCTTCTGGTCATTTCTGAATAGTTACCTTATCTACTTTATATGTTTGTCTATTTTCCAAACAGCTAAGGATGCTGTCATAGTTTGGATTATTATGCCTGGATGCTCATACACTAGCTCTCTTGCTCTTTGTATTGCTGTCAGATTTTGTTACCTTTGTTAAAGTGTTATATTAGAAAGTCAGCTATGTAGTAGGGTAAACCATGGTTCCAACTACTTTTGCCTATCAAGTACTCAGAGTAATTAATTCTTTGTTATATGCCAACTAAGGGGAGCTGATAACATTTTGGTCAAGAAGAGACATGGATGTGTACTTCTGTTGAACATCTTTCATGTACAAGTGTCGTTCTATTTAGACAGTTTTGACTCTCTCTCTCTCTCTCTCTCTCTCTCTCTCTCTCTTCTTTTTTTGTGCTGTTAAAACTTACAAGCAAAGCTTTCTTGGCATGTAATGATGCCAGTGTGAGTGGTATTTTGCTTTTTGCAATAGGTAACTTCACAAAGAACTGCAGTTGAAGATGATCAGGAGTTGCCTACTCTCTCTCCTTCAACTTTTGTTTCTTGGTACCGAGTCATGGTGAGGAATTACCACTTTTCTGCTTTCTGTGACTCCTCATTCTTGTAGTCATTGGTAACACAGGATAATGTAATCATGCAGCATGAAGAGAACCTGGCTGTAATAAATAAGTTGGTGAGTTTCATAGTTGATTTTCATTTTATAGATACAATGGTGGGTGAATATACACTTTACTTTTCATTGCTTTGAAGTCTGTTTAATTGTTTCACTTTCTTAGATTAAGGAGGTTGCCTGGTTAGAGAAGCCTCGAACTGCTGCTAAAGTTGAAAATGTAGAAAAACTCCTGGACAGACTACAACAGTCTGTAAATGTGGTTGTATCTTTAGTTAATATGTGCAGGACCCATGATAAGGTGATTGCTATATATCTACGATTTGATCAACTTTTTTCCTGGATGAAGCAGCCAAGATTTTTGATAAATAAGATGATATACAGGTTAGCGTGCATGGAATGGCTGTCAAGTATGGAGGAAAGTTTGTAGATTCATTCCTAAAAGGTACTTGTCTGCCACTTAAATTCAAGGTGATGCAACCGCTTAAGAGACTCTAGTTAATTGAGTTTTCTCCAGTTTTTGGCTTTCTTCAGGCCCAGTTTCAAATGCACAATGAGCAGATAATTAGCATGGTAAGATGAGTTGATTGGTTTATGGCTTAAACCAAATGAGCATCCATAAGATCAGAGTCCAGAATTACTTTTGTTGGGTTACTGCATTTTTTATCAGGTTAAGGAGCTCCAGAAAGCAACAAGAACCATACAGACATTGTGCTCTGAAGCAAAGGTTTGCACATTTCATTGTTCTTTAGTGAGAATGCATACTACTTCTTCTAGACATAATGAGTCATAACCTGCAATGCTTCTCTCATGGAAGGTGTCAAAACAAACAGCTATCACCAGTAAAATTCCTGCTACAAAGAGATCAATGGAGAGGTTCTTATTTCATGTGAAGGCTCTTCTTCACGCTACAAGTGAATGCACTTTTTGGATGGGTATGCAAGCTCCTCTTAACCTCTAGAAATTAATGTTAATGGACACTGGATTATTAATTGTTCAGGTTTTCATTTTATTGCCTTGCGTGCAAGTTCAGTGTTTACCTTTGTTTAGACACTCTTGCTTTCCTTGATATTAATGGCGATTGATCCGTCTTTTACCTTGAAGGCTTGAAGTAATGGTCCAAATGAAAATTTTTCATGTTTAAAAGCAACCACATTCAACTCTTGAATCAAATATCGTGCTTCATAGAATCATATTGCTGTGCAATACTCAAATAGGGAGTTATTTGGAAGGATCTCATGATACGAGTGATAACCACATCCATGGAGTATATAAGTTAATGTGGTTGAGATTTTTCCTCAATTAGACCTATTCTTTGAGAGTAGTTTGAGGGATCTTAATTAGATAACTGTACTCCCATTGGCAAATACTTAGTAAATCGTGTGATATATGTTTTGCAGGCAATCTTAAGCATAAAAATTTGATGGGACATGTTGTCAGCTCGCAAGCATACGTGGATGATCAAAACGAAAATATTCAAACAAAAGCCAGTGAAGTGAATGTTGCGGATGAACCAATGAACGTTGCTTGTGAATGAACATGAAAGGAGCATAATGGAGGAAAGGCAGAGAGGAGTTAGTTCAAAAGATTTTTTTCCTCGCTTTGAATAAATAATGAAGCAACCCATGGTTTTTTACCCATTCATCTCAGCGAGTGTTTTTCCATACCGGTGAACATTCATGATGTTGCAAGTATAGTTAATTGTGCAAGTCCTGCCCAAGTAATGAGCAGGCAACACAGACATGAAATGATCAGCCACAGATGGAAAACCTTTGAGTAAATGCATTGTTGATGGATAGCTGTATATTCTATACTGAAGTTACATACAAACTTTTGAGTAAATGCATTGTTGATGGAAAACCTAAATGATGAGATTTTCAAGTTTTGCCCCTTAAATTATGATTTTTATATAAAAGAACATGTCAATGTAGTTGCAGTGCATGCTTAAAAAGCCTCTTCTTTTAATTGTGCTATGTTACTTGCTGTGTAATATTGTGAAATGCATGAGATAGAAATTTTTTTTCCTCAGTTATGAGATAAATCTTTTTGCACGTTTTATTGGCATCCAAAAACTAAGCAAAGATGATACCAATTTCATCCTACATTCCCATTCTTTAAATCTATATCTTGATCAGCTCCCATGTGCTAAAGAACAACAATGAAATCTAACCAGATGAAATTGAATAATGCGGTGTTTGGTAAATTGGTAAAAGGGGTAGGAATGGGTCTCAAAATTGATGATACTCATACCTATTGTTTGATAAACTACTATGAAATTATCCAATAGGAAAGAAAGTATTGCATCTTACCCCCTTTCATTCATCACTTATAGTTTGGATTTCAACTTTCACATTGATTAACACTTATATCAAGTAAAATCCATTCCACTCCTAAATCAAACATATAAAGATGAAGACCAAAATCGATACACACACTGGGATTTATAATGCATATTTCAAGCCCAAATCTGGAGATGAATCAAACACCTCTTAACTTTGTACAAACTCGGGACAAAAGCAAAAGATTATAAAATTGCATAGATTTAAGAGCAGTCTTATCATTGCAAATTCCAATTTCTTACCAAGTGCATGGCAAATTAGAGAAGATCTTCTTTACTTAAACATCGTCAAAGATAGCCAATATGCTTTTGAAGTCTAATAAAGTATGTGCTTCTAGATTGAATTTTAGAAGATCTGGATTAAGACTGTTTGTGAGTTATCTATACTCCAAAAAGAACTGCTCATATCATATTATTAACTTTTAACTCATTTAATCCTCACCAACCTTTTCGAGAAGAGAACCAAGAACCTTATTTTGTCCACCCTAAATACATTGAGAACTACACCATATACACTTCTGCTGATCAATTTTGAAAAAATGTACAACAAACAAGAGGACTTTCAATCCTAGAAGACTAGTTATATAGGCAAAGAATGAAATTAAAATATAAGCACAAAGTCAAAATTCTCATCATTTTAAAAGAGAAATTGTGAATTATAGCATGAGTTTATGGTAAAAGCAAATAGAAAGCACATTATGTAAGTCTTTAAGACATCGTATTATATTAGTATTTCAAATAATTAGGTATGATGTTTCATTTTTTTTTTTTACTTTGAGCCTTTTTAAGCATGTGGACAAAGCCTATATATTTTTTAGAATTTTTCTAATGGGTGTTCATTGGGCACTGTATATATATATATATATATATATATATATATATATATATATATATATATATATATATATATATAATTTACTATGTGAATTAACACATTTACATTTATTTCGGCTTTGCATTTAGATATTTTCTCAAATTAACTACACTTTTAAACATAATGAACTCTCCAAGAAATGGTCATCAGTAACCATTAGACAGCTCCATCTTTTTATACCAAAAACTATACTTCGTTTTCCTTTTTGGACTTTGTCATCAATTAGGACAATTTTGTCATCAAGTTTATGATACCTCGTGTATGTAAAGCTTGGTAAAACAAGCTACGATTTTTAGTGATAATAAATGAAAATCAAGACCTTCTCCATTTATTTAGTAAATATGCCTACAATAAATATGCATTTAAAACAAAATAAAACCTTATTATGTAAGGTAAAAGAACAATTTCACAAATACCCTCAAGTTGCAATCACAATTGTTAAAGATATTTACAATTTCAAGAATTATACGATTCAAAGTTATAAAACTGATCCTGACTTTAGTGGGGATGCTATATTTTCTAAAATGTTAATTTCATCACTAGAACCTTCTAATTTATGTTTATATTTTACAAACTAAGAAAATAGTTCGAATATTTGAATTTTATGGAGTATTATATTTTATCTTTGTATACTAGTTATGCTATTTTTAATCTTTAGTCCAAAGACTAAATTAAGTGTATAATTATAGAAACAAATACAACATTAGCACAAAATGTCACATAAGTTCCAAAGGTGTATATTTGGATTAAAGAAACTTACTCTATGGGTTAATATTACATTTTATACATTACTTTACCTAGTGTTTTGTTTAAATAACATATATCTACTTGCTTTTCCATTCAATTTGCAAATATTTTCTTCGGTTAAAGTTGGGAGTTACATTAACATGCATTGAAAGCATGAATGTTAAGTGTATACTAATGCATAGACTTCTACTTTTCATGAAATATCACTATCTTTCTTTACCAATCAGGGTGTCAACAATTTAAACCTTACATTTGACCTATTCCTTTTATCAAACATACCTCAATATCATGGGCAAAATATACATATAATAGAAAACAGAGAAAAAATGGTAGTTTGTTTTCTTTTTTTCTTAGTCATAATTCAACACACAAAAGCAAATTTAAAAAAATGATTCTTTGAGAAAAATGTTTAATGACACTATTCCACGCACACTTATGAGATACATTTGAGAGTAGTTTTAACTTTTGACATAACTTAACTATTATGACTCTTTCATTAATGAGTCATGGGACACAGTTCGTGAGACAAATTTGTTGTTATGACTGTTTCATTAATGAATCATGGGGCATAGTTGGAGTAGAACACGTTAGCCTATAGGTCAAAGATAGTTTGGTTGGAATTTTGTGCATATTATTAGTAATTTTTTTAATAAAGTTTCATGTTAAAAAGTTTTTTTTTTAATACTTAGAAGACCTATTATGTTTCTAAACTTGCATAATGGAGATGGTATATAGATGCTAGAACCACCATTTATGTCTTATTTAGAAGACATAGCAATTTGGTCAATTTCTACCTGTGTCGTCTACAATTTATTCATCTCGCTAGCTGGATTTTTAGTTCCTAATCTGAGGATTTGAAAGCTAATTCTGTTGCTAGCTTCACCTTTCATTTTTTTTGATCTAATTGCTTGTTTTGGTGGTACTTGGGTGGCGATAACCAATTATTTTGACCAGTTCAAAGGACATTTTGAACCATCATTCCTCTACAACGATTGTGGTTTTGCTATTTGATGACCCATTGATGTTTTTAATCTAGCATGATGATGCACAAGGGGGGAGTCAATGATGAAACTAGTGATCAACCATTTAAGATAGCAAAATTTGAGATAGTAGGTCTATTCTTAGGAAAGGAATACGCAGCCAAAAATATTATCGAAGAGGGAAGAATCTTGGCTTGGTGAAACTAGTTGCTATGATAAGAGTGTGAGCAAGTAGTAGGCATTCAACAGTTGTATCCCCAGCCACATTCCCTTCATATGTCTACTTGTAAAATAAAAATAAAAATGTAATAAAAAAAGTAGATGTTACTGTTTTCCACGAGAACAAAATTTATTAATGCAACAAGACGGGTTCAATTGCACGATTCTGAGAGGAAAAGAAAACAACTTGAACTTGAGAAAGTCATAACTAAGGAATCGAAGCACCTCATCAGCCCGTATTTGCTTTATCGGATAAACTGAAGGATTAAATAGTAGCTTTACAATCTTGACCTCTTAGATAAATTGAGTTTTGTATTGGAATATTTAATTCTGTTATGTAGTGGTTGAGCCTGGTGCAATTATATTCAATAGACTATGTTAATTTTTTTTTTTTTTTGGATACAAAGGAGAGGCATAAAGCCTCTTAACATGGTACTAAACGTGGGATTGTTACCCCAATTACATCAACTCCTAAGAATTCCCTCAGTACTATCGGTGGTTCTTCTATCAGTCCTCTTGGTAGTTGTGACTGAGTTGCTTTCTTGGCTAGCCAGTCTGCACATCTATTCCCCTCTCTTCAAGTGTGTCGCAGGATACATGACCATTCTCTATTCCTCATGGCTCTTATCCGCTTGATTAGATTGTGATAAAGTGATGTGGCCACTGCTTCTGCTATCAATTCCAATCCCACTTTTGAATCAAACTCAACAATTACCTTCCTGTATCCTTTCTCCCATTCCAGCTTCATTCCTTTTGAGAATCCCCCATAATTCTGCTACTATGTTGCTTGCCAGTCCTACATTCTTTGCAAATCCTACCAACCATATACCCTTCTCATCCTAATGAGCCTTCCCACTCCTGCTCTTCTAGGATTTCTCTTAGAGGAGCCATCTACATTTACTTTAGCCGCCCCTTCAACTAGCGGAATCCATCTTATAAAACATTCCTGCTTTGGTGATCTTCCGTTCCCATTAATGAGTATCTGTTTTGTTTGCTTTGCCATGTGCCCTAGAGCTGTTGGGAAATCTTGAGGTGATAATCCTCTCTCTTGATACCAAATTTGTTCCTTGCTTTCCAAACATGGTTGACAGTTAGTTGGAAAAGTAGCTGCCACTTCACTCTCTCTCCAGCTCCTATCCCTTCCTACTTCAAGTTCCAGTTGAACCATTCAATTGTGTTCTTACTAAAGAAATCCTCCCAAAAGTGTGGGACAATAGACTATGTTTAAATATATGCTACATTATCAGTTTATTGAAGCTTTTCTTTTAAGTAAGAATTCGAAAAAATTATATCACTACCTATTGTAATTGTGTCCAATGGACTAGATTGATATCTTAATTAATATGTCATGGTTTTATTTCTAAATCTTGAGAAACTTATGGTCGTATATAATTCAGCCGATTGGCAGCGCCAAAATATTACTCCATTTTGTCTACTTATCTTATGGTAGTGATTGCAAATACATAGATGATTGAAAATTAGTTGCAGGTATTTGAAAGATAGGGTGAAATATTCGACTTAATTAAAAGAAAACATTGTTCCAACATAGCGAATAAAGCACTAATTCATGGAAAAAAACAAACAAAATCTATAAATTTATCTCAAGAAATACTCGTCTATGCAATTTGCAAGTATAGTTGCCTTATAAAGCAAGCAGATAAAGCAAATAAAGATTATGGTCTTGATCAATAAGTCACATAAAAACCATTTGCTTTAAACTTGGATAAAATCAGTATAATTGGGATATCTTGTTGGTTCTTATTCAAAAGAAGTCTGTGGATGTGGACAAGAATAATTCGATATGAAGTATGTTACCTAAAAATATGTTTGTTAAATTTAGCATACCATCACTACAACAAAAATGGTTTTTCCTGACATATCTATAAGGACACTTGCTGGTTTGTGCCATTATAAAACTTCTATCATGACACTAGTTATCAACTCAATAATATATACTCTAATTTTTTTTATTTTATTTGATATAAAAATAATAATGTACCTTTAGACTCCCTATTATGACATTTACGAAAATGTGAGATACACCAAAAAAAATTAAAACACAAAACGACGTCGTTGGATTTTGGCGGAAGATTCCTTTGCCAAAACACTTAGTGAAATCTCAAAACTTCATTTTGCCTCCCAGTGAAATTTTGCTTCTTCTTTATCTCTCGCACAAAGTCTTTCTCTCGGCAAACTGTCTCTCAAAACTCTTGGCCAAAATTTTGCTTTCCCACAAAGTTTTTCCTGTTGAATCTCTCCGCAATCAAACTATCCTTGCTTTCCCATTGAAGGGATGTAATTCCATGATAAATTTTTGCCCTAAATTGATTTCTCTCGGTTGCCTAAATTTTTGCCCTCTGCCTCTCTCGGCCACTTTCCTCTCCTCTGCTCCCTACCTTTGCCGTCCCGTCGCCCCTACTCTTTCCCTCTCATCATCAGGTTTAGGTTCGTCAAAACCAGAAAATGGAACAACATGACATTGAAAAGGACGAGTTCGAATTCTCCAAAAACAACGAAGCCCTAATTTTTGGTCCCGCTTCTCAAATCTCGCGGTTTCGCTACGTCGTCGACATCGGCTGCTGCAAATTCTTCTTCATCCTCAACGGCATCGTCTCAATTCACCTACACTACCGGCACGTACTTTCCGACTCCGTTTCACCTACAACAGCCGCAAACCTATGTCGCTGCTGCCGCTGCCGCTTCAATTCTGCAATTTCCTGCTCGTCCTCCTGCGGTTCCCCACGTTTATCCTGCTCCCGCTACAGTCCCTACCGTGTACTCCCTCCCTCAGTATCAACAGGTACGAACTTTTCTATATCCAATCATTAAGCCACGTTGTTTTTTTATATGAATTTTGGATGGAATATTTTTGGAGAGATTTAGGGTAATGATTTCGGCTCTTTTTCCTCTTCCCCTGACATTTGAATTCCCTTGTCAGCAGCTATGATGAGAAACAATTGATCTTTTTAATTATTGGTAGGAGTCGAGATATGTATACCATTGTTATCTATGTGAGTGGAGGAACCAGGAAGTCCAATTTTTCGGTAAAATACCCGGTCTGTTCATTTATATATATGGCTTAATTCATTTAGGAAGAACTTCCTAAATTGATTTAGGAAGTTGAATTTAGGCATTAGAAGAACTTTAGGTTAATGTTTTTCTTCTAAAATTATTGACCTTCTTTATTGTTGAGGTGTGATTATTTACTTAAGTTGATATGATAGTGGTGGAGATTTTAGTTTTTAGAAAAGAGGGAGGGGGGGCAATGTAGAAGGTGAAGGGGATTTCACAAATTTTAGGGTGCAAAGGTGGGCCAAATAAGAAAGCAGTACCTCGTAAGGCAGCAGGGCAGGCATGGGCAAAAATAACAGGGGATCCCATAAACTAGGCGTAGAGGTAGACTGCCTCAGTCTAAGTAGTAGTATTACTAACGTGTGACTTCATCACGCCATCACTTTTCAAACTAAGACTTCTAATGTTTTTTTTTTTTTCAAACTAAAATTCGGGGTCTTATCAATTAATTACACAAGCCGGGACGACGGACCACATCATGCTTTACCAACCCCGACGACACCTGTTCGTTTGTTTGTGCCGCCCAATTCTCATGTTTTACTTGCTACTTACCAGTAGCATATGTTTTTAACTTAATTATTATTCAACCTGATACTGTGATGCTTGCTTTAATTAAACAAGTGCCTAATCCACTGTCTCACCTCATAAGAAGCAAGGCCCCACAAGGCTTCTGATTGGTATCGAATGCCTCCTTTTCTAATTGCTTTCCTGCTTCTATGACTATTAGTAAAGGATGCAGATGCTATAATGCTTACAAAAACATATACTACCAGTAAACTTTTAATTGCCAAATTGCCAACTGAACTTGATTTGATTAGCTAAGCTTCTCGTAGACTAGGATTATACCATAATCAAATTTTACTTCATAACTAAAAAGGAAAAGAGTTCTCCTTTCTTTTCGTTTTCTTGTAAAGACCCATGGTTTCTATGAGCTCTTCTAGTTCATTTTACTCTTTATGCTATTGGTAGGCTCACCTCATGGGATCACCACCTTGTCATTCTACTTTTGGATGTCATTTTATACGTACATTATATCTAAACAGGAATTGTGTTATTTCACTCGTAGGTCATCAGTCTCTGTGACTGTAGGTTTGAAAGGAACGTATAACACAAGGCCGAGACTAAGAAGAAAGCAATACCTCGTAAGGCAGCAGGGCAGGCATGGGAGGATCCTACACTTGCAGATTGGCCAGAGAGTGAGTTTCATGTACTCTACTCCTTGTGTGGTTGCATTCATCATTTTTTATGACAATTTTCGCCTGTCTTAATTCCTTCACTGATCTTGTTTTTGCTAGTATTAATGCCTTCAGTATTACTGTTTGTGTTGTGCAGATGATTCTCGTTTGTTCTGTGGTGATCTTGGTAATGAGTTGAATGATGATGTTCTATCCAAAGCATTTTCAAGATTTCCATCTTTTAACATGGCCAGGGTGAGTTATTTGAACTCGTCCACTTTTTATATGTCTCAACCTTCTCTTGTTCGAATTATCGAAACTTTAATTTGTCTCCTTGTCGTGGTTGCCTTTGGTGAGGTTCTGACCTGATTTTGCATGATCCCTTAATCTGATTTCGAAGAAGTGCTTTGATCTGATGTACGAGTTTAAAACTTTGAACTTGGACAACATCTATGGTTATGTTTGTGTGAAATAAGATTAAATTTTGCTAGCATATGATTCTTTAGCTTAAGGGATGCTTGGTATCGAACACTGTTCTGGCTGATCATACTGGTGCTTCTACCATTATTTTTATAAAAGAGAGAAATTTAAGAATCTCTCATGTCTCTGAGCTCTTGAATCTGTGCACTTTTGTGTCTGCATCCACACTCGTCCCTTTTGTCGTGACAAATGCCCCTTGTAGTTAGTCAAACATAATATATATTATCTGATGTTTAAAGGAGAATGATTAATCTGCTTAGTCATACTGTCTTTTGTTCAGTGCATTACTTGACAGTGTTGGTACTGTGATCACTACTATATGTAATGTTGCCTGGACGACGAGCTTTAGTTTCAGCTTGTTGACAATGTTGGCTGTTCAGGCACCAGTTAGTGATTGGGAGTACAATGCTACGCTCCCCAAAACTGCTTCAATGATTGATTTGGCTTCAAAAATAATGATGACTTGTTTAGCACTGACTTAAGTGAGGACCAGCTGAGGCAGAGACTTGGACACATGTCCCACACACCTTGTCAAGTAGGAAATTGCAGTACATAGTTATGTCCAATATCTATAATTTTTTCCATCGCATTTGATAGACCAAAGGCTATATTTCTAGCATGACATGATTTCTAGTAGGTTGAATTGCTTGAACGCAAACTATTTCCTGGGGTGTTATTATATTATTATTGTTGCAATTTTTTTCCTATCATTTTCCAATCTCAAATGCTCAAGAATTGGAAAAAAAATTTCTGTTTCCCCAGATCACTGTATACACTTTTCTTCATCCCTTCAATTTCTCGGCTGTTTTCTCTTCTTCTGAAGGATTGGCACTAACCTCTACTAAAGCATAGCTGGACTGCTCCACCTAGAGATGGCTGAAGGAAGTGGAAATGAGGAGACAACTCTTGAGCATACATCAACATGGGCAGTGGTAGTTGTTTGTTTCATCTTGATGAGCCCAAACAATGTACTATATATATACTATACCTCTCGCGGATCGTTGCTAATATTGTACAATTACGTTACCTGACTTTTAGCATTTCTTTCAACTTGTTAGGGATGAGAGTCTTTTTGTTTGTGCACAAGAAAGTCTTTCAAGTTATTGTAAATGAGAATCTTTCGGTACTTTATTGGGATTTTAGTACTTGCTTTGAGCACTTGTTTGCGATTTTAGTACTTGCTATGTTTGTACTTGTTATCGACTTTTAATTCAATGAATTATATTTGAGTATCGACTTCTTCTTTTAAATTGCTATATGCATTCTGCTCTTTGAGATAATTTTACAAGTCCCTTGGGATTCTGGTTGATGGAATGTACAGCAAGGAGGACTAATTGCAGGTTGCTTCCATATAAAAAAAAACAGGGAAAAAACTCCTGGCAATTAAAAGTGTCAGCATAGCTTAACTTCGAAAAACACTAATGACAAATGGGCATGTCGTCCAAAGCAGTGTAAATTCACATGGCTACGTGTCCTTAAAGTCATATATTAAGACAACTAAAGATGCCTTCATAAATTGGATATACTACTGATCCGCTACTGATGTTCTAATGCTATACGGACACTTTCGATTATCACAAAAAAAAGTTTTTGTTGGCAGAGGGAATGCTATAGCAGCATGGTTTTCCTGACACGTTTGAATGTTGCTAAAGATTTGAGGCTATCCCCACATTGGAAGGGACAACACTCGCCCTAGGTGTGAGGATAGATAAAATGTCAGGTTAAATTGTCTATACTGACACTTTTAAATGCCGCTAAAGGCCATTTTTGTTGTAGTGCATGCGTAGATTATAATTTGCTACTTAAAAATTCATTACATACTAGCATTTTGGCGCGTGCTATGCACGAGTTTATATTTCAATTCAAAATAATAATATATAATTATATATTGCAGTACATGATAGGGTATATGAAAAAGATTAAAAATTTCAAAGAAGTGTATGCTAAACATGTTAAAAAAAACTGTGATCACAAAATGGACTTTCTTAATTTTAATATCTTAAATAAATTGAAACCAAAATTTGTTTGCCTATTGTCTATCAATACATGATAAGAATTTGAATAAAATAATCTAATTTATAATGATTTTTATGGTAGAGCAATTGTAAACCTTTTTATCAATAGCCGACGAAAGATATCATGTTATATCTATATATCAAACAATATAATATAAAAACATAAATTATAACTAATTCGCTTTTCTCGATTTTAGAAAAAAATTTTCTCCCATCTTGTACCTCTAAAATTGTTGTGTTTATAGAATAGTGTTTTACATATAATTTAATATAGATTACAAAAAAAAAAATCTTTGTAAGATATGTTGTTAAAGTTTTCAGAATTATTAATTAATAACTGTTACCCTTTCCGTCTATTTTTACCTACCAACTAGCCATCTACTGCCCCCTATGGCTTTCACACGTCCTACCATGGTGCCATCCTTCTTTTCATTTTTTGCCATCTCTATCATATTCCCACAATTCCCTTCTTTCTCTCCTCATCTCTTTGCACAACTTTGTTGTTCACTTTCCTTTTTTGACTTTTCTCGTTACTCTTTAACTCCTCACCATTCTCTTTCCCTTGCGTCTAAATTCCTATTCTCGCCACTTACTTATGCCTTTCAACTTACTTACGCCATCAAAGCAATTACTTATGCCTTTCAACTTGTTTAGCCTAAATTGACTATCTATCACTTTAGGCTAACCCAGGAAAGAATGGACTACACTCTGTGGATTTGGATATCGGAATTATCTGAAAATGCAAACAAAAACTTGATAATATCTTATAATACCCTCAACTACTACAAAAAAAATCTATATAAAAATGACACAGTAGTTACATATTAAAAAATGATAAGAATACATAAAATAATCAATAATATGTATGGTTTTATATTCTTATTCAAATTTAATTAGGGTCAAATTTGGATTAGATATGTACAATTAAGTAGATACAGTTTAGGGTCAAATGATCTATATTTTTTTTCCTAAGCTGTATTGTTATTTTTTGGTAGAATTGGTGTTCTTTTTGTTATTATTTTTCATCAAAAATAAAGATTTCAAATAGAAGTTTCCATAACTAAAGGCTAGTAGTACTTTGTTTTTTAGTTAGTGATTTCATAATTTAGGTTTCATGAATGGTGTCATTCTTTATTTTTTAAATCCATGACCAGTGAATATTATTTTCTTTTTATTTTCTATATCCCCAACCTCTATCCCCTATGGCCAACCTCCTCCATTTCCCTTTCCTTTACTTTTTCCTTTTTCTTCTACCCACCCAATCAGAATAAAGTAATATCACAATTTTTCATTCGAGATATATTATGTTATCAAAAATCTATAGTTTTCTCTTATATACTTATAAGAATTACATACATACATGTGTATATAACATGCTCTTTGTGTGTTGAGATTTTCTTTTTTGTATTAATTGTGATAGGCATTTCTCTCACATCTATTGGTCTGAGAGTCCTAATTTTTCCATTTTTACTCAAAATATAACTTAACATATTGTCAATGTTACATTATTATAAAGTGAATTTGGCAAGTAAAATATAAAAATGAAAATTCAATACAAAAGTATAAAACACCAACTTAGTTATTTTTCATATAAATTGAATTGAATAATTTCAAATTTTCAAAGGTGAAGTTGAATCCATATGCAACCCCCAAATTGAAGAGTTTAAATTTGAAGTAAAAAAAATTTCCATAACTTGCAATTTAGTTTTATACTTAAAATATACTATATATTTGAGTTTTCAAAATAAAATTGAAAAGATAAAATTTGAATCAAAAGAAAATCATAACCTATAATTTTGATTTAACATTTTTACAATATAGTATTAGTATCTGAAAATGCAAACAAAAATTTGATAATATCTTATAATACCCTCAACTACTACAAAAAAAAATCTATATAAAAATGACACAGTAGTTACATATTTACATATTAAAAAATGATAAGAATACATAAAATAATCAATAATATGTATGGTTTTATATTCTTATTCAAATTTAACTAGGGTCAAATTTGGATTAGATATGTACAATTAAGTAGATACAGTTTAGGGTCAAATGATCTATATTTTTTTTCCTAAACTGTATTGTTATTTTTTGGTAGAATTGGTGTTCTTTTTGTTATTATTTTTCATCAAAAATAAAGATTTTAAACAGAAGTTTCCATAACTAAAGGCTAGTAGTACTTTGTTTTTTAGTTAGCTAGTGATTTCATAATTTAGGTTTCATGTATGGTGTCATTCTTGATTTTTTAAATCCATGACCAGTGAATATTATTTTCTTTTTATTTTCTATATAATTTGCCCTCTTAGTTAGAATTACTAACCTGAAGGGTAAAATATTGTTATTTACTTTTTTACATTTAGTAGGTCTGGTGATGTTTCCTTTGTATTTAGCCTTCCATTAATAGATTTCAAACCAAATTTCTATGTAAGTGGAGTCACTTCTTACTTTTTGAATCAAAAGACGTGAAAGGATATATAACAATTTTAAAAAATCAAAATTCTCTATAAAAAAAAAAAGAGAATAAAGAGTTGGAAGTATTCTAAGTTAACCATACTAAAAAAAATTTCTGAAATTTATATAGATATATATTTCACCGTTCTCCAATCTTGGGATACTGAAGGGTAACTACTCATTGGATGACATATTAAAGACTTCTCGCTCCTTGCAAAGTTTTCACATTTTGAAAAACTGCTGTGCTAAAAGTGTTGCCCGTCAAGCTAATAATAGAAATGCAAGGCATATCAACTATATGAACCACTAAACCCCTAGAAAAAATAACAAATGAAAGAATGAGAGGGAGAAAGAATTAGCTAAAAGAAAAAAAGAAAAATCTCAAAAATGTTCTCACATTTTGCCAAAGCATGATGTTCCTACATTTGCTACACTATCCATACATTTGCTAATCAATTTTAAACAAATGTATAGTAAATAAGATAATATGAATTCCAATCCTGTAGACCAGTCATATGAGCAAAGAATGAAATTAAAGTATAAGCACAAAACCAGAATTTTTGCCATTTTAGAAGAAAAATTTTGAATTATAGCGTGAGCTTCTAATAAAAAAAATAGAAAGAACATTACATAAGTCACTACTACATTGTGTTCTCTTAACACATTGTGTATTACATACTAATATATGCAAGTTGAAGTTCCGAATACAAGCCTTCCTTTGCTTTACCAATATAATCAATTTCCTATTCCAATTCAACAATATTTGCCCTCTTTATAATTGAGTCTTCTTTTTCATGCAATATGAAAATTTTCCTTTGTCACTCAACTCTTCACTAAATCTTAATTTAGGGCATGAATGGCTCAATTAATGATTAACAGCACTACTTTATTGCCCCATATTCACATCGAGGAATTGTAGAAATAGTGAAAAAATTGATGATTTTAGATTGCAGCATTATATTAAATTTATTATTACCATAACTTTAAGTGGGGATTGTTTTCTAGTTTTTGTTAATATATAACTATATATGACTTATGCCCTTCTCAAGTTTTGTGCATAGATAAGCAAGCATTCAAGTCTCATAGGAATAAAGTTTTATCAACAAAAAATTAAGTAATTACCCATTCTTTCCGCCAACATAGTCTCTAAAAGACAAAAAAATAAGCAATTACCCATTCTTTCTGTCAACATAGTCCTTAAAAAACAAATTTCTAATTCAAAATTTTAGACAATTCGAAGAAGAGCCTTTCAAAGCAATTTGAAAGGTTAATTACAGTTAAAAATACCTTTTGTTTTAGTATTTTTGAATTATTCATGATATTTTTCTTTTTTCATTTTCTTAATTGATATATTATAATAAAGTAAATCTAACACTTTTAAGCCAACATGTATGGTATAGTGACTTTAATCACGATTAAATAATAAGGGTACAAAATGATACTTAAATCATCAATTAATAAGGGTATAATAGGATTAAAACACCAGGCTCATGCTTATAGTACTGTTATAATGAAAATAGATGATAGATAGATAGATAACAGATAGTTGAATAATAGATAGGAAGACTCATGGCATTCTTGTATTGGTAATAGGTAGATAAATAGATAATAGATAGTTGATCTAGGCCTTGTTTGAGGCACAATGTTGCCCGGATATTATAATGGAGTTGTGGTTGAAGGAATGCATGATGAAGCGAAAAAAAATTATAGAATGCAGTACTGCAGCATTTGTAGGTATGGTTTGAGGCTACTACTGAATACAT